ACAACCTCTGGGCTGATCTAAGTCAGGGCATGGCTAACTCACAGATTGAACCCTGAAACAACCTCTGGGCTGATCTAAGTCAGGGCACGGCTAACACGGTTAACTGACACATGCATGGTAATTTTTCCAGGGACCTGGTGAAGAACACTATACTGGACCTGTTTGCTGGTCCGGTTCACACAGGAGTCTATTCCGCGAGTGTTCAGGTATGGTGCTGGTGTGAGCGAGACAGCGAGCGATAAAACCAATAAAGACCTTATGAAATAAATGCGCAAATGTTAAATCAATATAAAAGACTTTAAAAGCAATTAAAATTAAATACGCACTCGTAGCATATATGGAGTCAATTTCATTTCCGTAAAAAATTTCAACGCACAGTTAAGCGCGCGCTCACGATATATTAACGATTATCCTTTGAGCCGTTCACATTACGCGAAACAACTCGGGAAATAATAAATGCTTCGGCACTTCTGACTTGACGAACGACGTGATGGCGAGAAGGTGATCCGCGGCGTCATCTCATGTTCGTTGTCAATAGACAGTTTTCTCAAGGTTGCGTGCACATCTATCTTGACGGAACACAAAACTAAAAAAACGCAAATTCAGTAAAATTGAGAAGATAGTTTTATATTTAAAGAGGAAAATAATCGATTTGATGAATGGTCATCGAAAAAAAGTTTCATAGCAATGCATGATAATACTCATCATAAAGCTCGTGTTCTGGTATCGTGGCCCGTCAAGTTCCGTAAGCTTGGATGCGCACGCAACCTTGAGAAAACGGTCTATATTTTAATAGGGCAGTCCCCTGTCAAAATAATGTCAACAATTCAGGTTAAGCTGGTTTAAATGGAGGCCTGTGTTGTCAGGAAAGGCAAGCGTAGAAGTTTAAACATACCTTGGTGTTGCTCGCGTGTTTTACTTGATGCTTGTCGTCTCTCGACGATACTCGAATGAACGAATATAGAAGACCTATTCTCATGCTCATTAAAAATTCATGAGTAAACCAGCCAATCAATGGGCTATTTTTAGGTCACATGATGTTACTTGAAACCTGGTAAAGTGCTGTGAAAGGAATGCATTCAGTCTGGAGTAACTGGAACAAAATTAATTCAGTCCTAGGACTACTCCAGCTACTCCAAGTCGAATAATTAATGAGCATGAGAAGTCATTTCAAAGCCTCCAATATCGGACTGGACGGGACTCGACTGCGCCTCGGACTGGAACTAATTGCTTAACTTGAAATCCCGTCCAGTCCTCATTGTCGGCTTTGAAATATTACTTCAGAAACCAATGGGACTGGAGATTGCGCGGCCATCTTCTGCCACAGGATTATCCTTTGTTTCTATCAAAACTTTTCTGTGTAATTTTAATTTTATTTTATTTCCAGCATACGTCCTACATGACAGCCCGGTCTATCTTGGGCCAAGTACAACAGGTATCCCATACACGTATTTTACTATTCTTACTGAAACAATTACTTTATCTCCAGCTTGTCAAGTGAAGAGGGTAAGCTGACTTAAGTTTTCGACTATTGCTGGGTTTTTTTATTCTTCCCAAGAGAATGAAATAACAAAAGACACAGCGGCCATGTTGGATGATATAATTAAAGAGACTAATGATGAATCTTTTGTTAAATCCATCTCCAACATGGCGGCTGTGAAAACCATCTATTATCGATAAATCGTTATTAATATTTATATTTGAATGTTATTACTATTTTAGATTGGTTACGTCGAGATTGTAATGCCTAATTCTCACTACTTCAACGTCAACATGGCGCCATTTGGGATTAATAACTACAACGAGGTAAGGGCTGTCGTCTTTCTTCACTCAATCACTCACAAAATAATTTAAATCCCTCCAAAGATGCAGCAATAAGGACATCAAATTAATTCGTTCTTCTTGTAGCACGCAACACTGTCTCGTTGCACACTGTAGAGGGAATGCGATTCCGTAGTACGAACTCGAGCGCAAATAGCTTTTTTGTTACACGAAGCCAAGTAAAAGCCATTTCTGATCAATTTGTTGTAGACGGAGTCGTAATATAATCCGGGCAAAGCTTACTCTGATAGACGGCAACAGTTAATAATTTAAAATATCTTTATACGTAGTATAGAACTGTTGCAGCACGTCGGAATGCATATAATACGGGCAAAGCTTACTCTGATAGACGGCAGCAGTTAATAATTTTATATATCTTTATACGTAGTATAGAACTCTTGAAGCACATCAGAATCCACCTCAATGTGGAGGGCAGAACAATAGGTTTCTAATTCTGACAAGATTGAAACTATTTTGTTTTGTCCTCCCAATTGAGCTGCTTTTCATATACAAGGGATCTATTTGTACATTGAAATTGAGTGCGCATCATCGCCGAGGTCGACGCTCGACTGATACCTACAACTTGACTGATGAACTAGCACTAATGACGTTGCGCGCCACAGTTGTACTAGCTCCAGTCCTGGCGCTTTCTTGCGAACCGCATCTTCGGTACTAGTATCTCACGGTCAAAACAGCTTCAACCGCGCGTGCGCAGTTGGCACCGTAAACTCCTCTAACAGTGGAATTCCTATTTTGGTCTTGTTTGAATCAGGTGTTGCAGCCAGTTGATAAGCCTAGTGGGAACATCAAGCTCGGGTTGTCAAGGAAACCAAAAGCCAAACTTTAATTAAGGTCCAAATGTACTGTATGACATCTTGGCACTAGTCATGTAAATGTATGACGTCATGGCAGTAGTGATGTAGATGATGACGTCATCGCAATAGCGGTGTAGATTTATTGTTAATTAAAGGTTTTACATTTGTTTGTTGTAGCATGGTTACTTTCAAATTGAAGTCATTTCCAAGGTCTCGGGTGGCATTTGTACCCTAAGTGTTTGCATGTCATGATTGTAGGCTAGTAACGAGACTAATGAGATTCATTCAGTTGATTGATACCAAGCAATAGAATACTCCCTGGTTAATTGGTACCACATGACGGCCAGTGTTTGCATGTCATGATTGTAGGCTAGTAACTAGACTCATGAAATTCATTCATCTGATTGATACCAAGCAATAGAATACTCTCTGGTTGGTACAACATGACGGGCAGTGTTTGCCTGTCATTGTAGGCTGGTAATGAGATTCATGAGATTCATTCATCTGATTGGTACCAAGCAATAGAATACTCTCYGGTTGATAGCACATGACGGGCAGTGTTTGCCTGTTATTGTAGGCTAGTAACGAGACTCGTGAGATTCATTCAGCTGATTGATACCAAGCAATAGAATACTCTCTGGTTGATAGCACATGACGGGCAGTGTTTGCCTGTTATATTGTAGGCTGGTAATGAGATTCGTGAGATTAATTCAGCTGATTAATACCAAGCAATAGAATTCTCTCTGGTCGATAGCACATGACGGGCAGTGTTTCTGTTAGTTATTGTAGACACCTCTAGTATAATGATATTCGCATTTGTTCAGCTGATTGTGCATACCAAGCAATATGATATGGTTGACCGTACACTTAACCTAATTTGGGAAGACTGTTATCGCATTTAGGCGCAATTAATAAAGTATTTTTAAATGATTATTTAAAAGGCTTTTATTCTACCCATTAAACGTTATACAGCTCAGCGGTGAACGCAACGCGCAAAGCATGAGTGGACAAAATGACCGGCCCTGAGCATTTTTGGAGCTTGGAAGAACGGTCTCCTATGCAGCCGCTATTAGTATAGAGACTAGAAAGAGTGAAGCAAACATGACGGTAAAGTAGAATTGTTTTCATTCTTCCTATCCATTTTTCTGCTGCTTGTAGCCACGTATAATATATTTTAGTCAAAAGAAATCAGAAAAATACGCCAAAGTTGAGTTACAGTAGCCTGGGAATGAGGGCCGGTGGCGCAACGGCTAAACGCGCTGTGATTGGCTAAAAGAAAATTCACCGCTCAGCTGGATCACAGGGAGCCCGGCTTTAGAATTTGTACATGAATAAATAAGTCAATAATATACTTTGGGTTTCCTGTGTTGAGATTTGGTAACTTGATAGCAGATTAATGTAAGTAACTCGAGAGCAGCTTATAATTCAAATTTAACGTATTAGTGTAACGCACGCCCTAGTACGTTACGTTAATCTGCTATCAAGTTACTGGTAGTACGATTACCGGAAATTCAACGTATCAGCGTCTTGTTTCAAATCTCAACACAGGAAACCCAAAGTACATTATTGACTTATTTATTCATGTAGAAATTCTAAAGCCGGGCTCCCTGTGGCTGGATATGCATATGCTATTTAATAGCAATACTGTGGCTTACCTTAAATTCTAACATTTGATGTAAATTTGTAAATGAACTTTAAACAATCGCAGCCATTTCTAAAAATTAATTTCGTACCAACACTCTTACCTACTTAACACGATGACACCATACCAATATATATTAAGCTTACTAGCTATGAAAAGACTGGTTTGAAATGTTCGGAAGTTCCATAGATTCCTGAACTTTATTCCCTTCCAGTCCCTGGAATTCAAGCCCATATTTTTCTCTTAGTTCAGGCTCTCTTTATTCTCTCGGGTTATCATTTTCTGCTGTTAGAACAAGTTTATTTTCCATGTCATCTTCCTTTCTTGTATCACCTTCTTCTTTTTCATGGTGAGTTAAATTATGGTTTGTTTTTGCAGTATTTTCATGCGCATGCGTAGTACTATGAAATATGGAGCCCCTTTGGTCCTTGCTCCCAAATCCCTCTCGTTCTTCCTCTCGTATTGTTTCCAAATCAGAAATTGGATTTGAATTTTGTTCATCGTTCTGTGTACAAGTAGTAACGTCTAAGTACGACTCTTCCTTTGTTTCAATGGTTTTTGACAAACCGTCTTTTGCTTCTGCAGAATCTAATGCATTTTCGTTATCATTCTGCGCACGCGTAGTAAGTTCCAAATTGCCTGGTAGTTCTTCTTTGGGTGTAACGCTGTTCTCTTGCGTTACTGAAGTATGTAACACAATATCTGTATCATTCTCGTTTTGTTTATCTTCAACCAGTTCGTTATTCTGCGCTCGCGTATTAAGGAGCAAATCATCCTCAAGTTCATTTTCAGGTGTTGCGCTATGTCGCTGCGTTACTGAAGAATGTAACGCAGTATTCCTCTTATTCATGTTATGTTCCAGTTCCGCCAGTTTTTCATTGTGATAAGTCCCATTCGGAATGACAGGATCGGCGCATCTTTCTTCTACTTCCTCTTGACCTAAATAGTAAAAGAAAAATCCCCAAAACGTTCAAGTTAATCCTTTGCAGAGAGTGATCGCTCAGTCTCCCGAGGCAGATCGAGACCCTAAAAGCTGCGTCTACACGAGCAGTATTTTGCTTGACAGACGACGCGATCTTTTGAAATCACAAACGCGCGGTGAAAATCACAAGTATAGCTATCCTTGCACTTCCTCGCTAGCAGTGTCTTCCTCGTTGGTGATATTTTGATTGGCAGTGATTGTCTGCCTAGAATCTCCAACGAGGAAGACTCTGTTAGCAGGGAACCCTTGCGCAGTCGACGCGTTAATGGRAAAAAAATCTCGTGAAATTAAATGGGTTGAATCTTTTGTGAGTATCATTCTAAACAAAATCTTATTTTCAAATGAGTGACACGTGGTCTGAAATGGGCAAAACAATTGCCTAAGCTAAAGAGGTGTATTTGTCGCGCGTGCTCGTGCAGACATTCTGCAACTTTTAACGGATCCCTTTTGCGTTGCAACCTACGACCACAGGGGTAAGAGCTGGAGCATACCTATTAGCAGCGCAAATCATACAACCAAACCCCTTTCTTTTCATTTTGACACATACCTTCCTCCACTTCCGCAAGATCTTCCAGCACGCGCATCACATACGATGGTCTACGGTCATCCACGCTGCCCAAGCTACTTCTCTTCAGCATCAGCGCCTTCTCTACTTCAGCCTCAGCTCGCAGGGATGCTACCTGTTCCATGTCCCTTGCTATGCGCTGTCGCCGGTAAGCTGCTACCGTGCGCTGCTGGGATTCGATGGTCACTTGGGAATTAGACCGCTCTGTGGCAAAAACAAAAAAACAAAAAAAACAAAAAAAATTCAAGGAAAGACTTAGGAAAACATTCAAGGAAAGACATTGCGGACGCTTGAATTTAAATTTTATCAATGCGAGGCCCTAAAAAGGTCCCCCTAAAAAAGGCAAAAAAAGGGCTGAACATTTAAATGCAAGGCCATGTCACTCATGTTGTCGCATTTTAGCCATAAAAACGCTCTAACGTCAGCTTTTGTGCACAATATTATTCTTTTTTTCTCTGCTCACAAAAGAAACGTGACGAGCTAGCATGACATGTAATCTTTTGGGATTGATAGCCTTCAACTATTGCTACGAAACAGAGAGACAAACACAAATAAACATTGAAAGACTTACGTAGGTTAAGCACAGATTAACTACGAGTTTACGAGACTTACGAAACGAATTTGACGCTCCGATGTGAATAGTTGTGTCGTTAAAGATTATTTGGCAAAATTGTGGTGTTCGGTTACTATCTATGTTGTAAATAAAGCAGGTCCTGTGTTTTTGTTGTGGTTAAAAACTGTACTGTATCAATAAGAAAGCATACTTCGCACCTTGTGGCTTCTTCAAGAGACTATTTTTGATCGGAAAGTAGATAATGTTTTGCCTAAATCTTCCAAAATACAAATTAAGCATTTTGAATCGACTTTCCAGGAAAATCTGCGACTTCGAAAATGTTTTAAAAACTTTCAAAGACTTTAATTGCTAACAGTTTTAGCTCTATCAAAACATAATATTTTGATAAAAAAACTACGACAACTTACCGGACTAATTTTCCAAGATATGAAACTTAAATAAAAACGGTTATAAATAAAAAATAGTTGAGTTTTCTAACTCTGTTTTTTAAGGCATGAATTTTTTGGATACGTTAATTTTTGAGTTCGTTTGCGAAAAGCTCGAATTGACGTGCATGAACTTTTAAAAATATATTCCAAAGAACGTCAACACCTTTTTACACACGAGTCAAAGATCGATGAATTCCTACCTGTTTTTTTAACCTGGCTCGTTCCACAGCCCATTTCCTTTAAACTTCAAACTTGTGCTTCACTTTTGAGCTCATAAAGGAAGGATAAAGGAAGGATGAAGATTGGTTCTTGCTGGCCTGTGAGTCTAGCCATGGTTGTTTATACTGCCTTCAGTGGCATGTTGTCCCAAGGTTTTTGAAGAGGATTCGAGGGGTCTCTGTTGACTCAAGATCTGATATGCTGCTAGCGATGAGCTTTATTGACAAAGACATCTAGACACGTTTTAAGCGTACCCTTTTGAAGCGAAAAAACTCACCCAAGCAATTAAAAGAGAAGCCATCTTATTGTCTTATTGCTTATCAAACAACCTCAGTACACTTAATATTAAAATAATTTTTCGTTGTTTTTTTGTTGTTGTTGAATATCTTAGCTAATTATCATTATTGTTAACGATACAAAGGTAAGGCTTATTAAACAGTGGATTAAGTTTGTTGAAATGACTTATTAATCAGAATTAAGAATCGTGCTGGTTTGGGGGAGTGTGCGTGGCGTGACGACACTAATAGCGGCTGTGTAGGACACCAGGTCTGGCTTGGTATATCACCAGATTTATGCCCAAGTACTTACATGCATCTACTCGATCTTATTACGCGAATCTGCTTAATTACGACACCCTGTTATTACAGACACTTGTTTTTGTTCCAGTGTCATGCATCTACTCTTACATGAACCTGCTTAATACGGACACCCTGTTATTACAGACACTTGTTTTTGTTCCAGTGTCATGCATCTACTCTTACATGAACCTGCTTAATACAAGCACCATGATATTACAGACACTTGTTTTTGTCCCAGTGATATGCATGTTCTCTTACATAAGCCTGCTTAATACGGACACCCTGTTATTACAGACACTTGTTTTTGTTCCAGTGTCATGCATCTACTCTTACATGAACCTGCTTAATACGGACACACTGTTATTACGGACACTTGTTCTTGTCCTAGTTATATGCATGTACTCTTACATGAACCTGCTTAATACGGACACCCTGTTATTACGGACACTTGTTKTTGTCTCAGTGATATGCATCTACTCTTACACAAACCTGCTTAATACGGACACCCTGTTATTACGGACACTTGTTCTTGTCTCAGTGATATGCATCTACTCTTACACAAACCTGCTTAATACGGACACCCTGTTGTTAAGGACAACAAAAGCAGATATTAGAATTAGAAAATTAAAAAGGACGATTGTTGCAATCGGGTTAGTTTCTATACATTGATMGTATACTGACCCAAATGCCTCAACTTGAAACATTGTTTAAAGGCAATAAAGTGTGACTCTAATATTTGCTATTTTTTGCGCGCACTTTTTTTCATCCGGGATCAATTGAATATATTCGGTGTCATCTGTTTCCCGGACCGCCGATATCCGGGTTCCTGTCCTTGATCATTGATATCATTCATATTCTTTAACTATAGAAACTTCGTGGGGAATTTGATAAAATTCTAGAAAATCGTTTGCAAGCCATCCAGGGTATCCGAGAAATAAATGCTAACTGAATAGCAGGTCCACAGATGTTCTGGSATGCTGCTTTTTCTATCCCGTAGAGGTACCCGGCTCATTCCATCTCCGGTCACCAGAACCCCAATCATCTCATTGGTCCACAGACCACCCCGGTGTAGTAGCATAGAATTCCATGGATTCCAAAACGGACCGCTACATATCATCAACAAATCAGCCAAAAAACCCTACCTCTAGTCATTAAACTACTTAGTAAGGTCCACAGTTCGTCTAACCACAATAAAATCCCATCAATAAAACCCTCGTATGGGCTTAAAGCTCTTCATAATCTGAATTCAGCGATTATCAAAACTGTCCTCACTAAAAACAAGTTCTAACTTCCTTATTAGCCGCCAGATCAAGGTCAGGAAAAAGTTATTAACTTTTTAATATAAAATAATCCTTTGGCTATCCCACTGAATGCTTAATCAGTGACCCTGGATGGCTGGGTTATTTGAAAATCCATTCAGCTCTCAGTGGCCAGATTTCAGAGGTTGTAAGGTTAGGTCGTTACTGTTCGTGCTGTAATTCGCCGTCAGAATGGCGCACGAATAAGACAACGAGTCTGACGAAAACACTATTTGCGCTACTAAAGAGGCATAATATATAATCATCGATGAAATATCTATTTTTCTCTATTATCAAAAACTGATATTTTCGAATGTGAATATATTACATAATATTTTAACAAATAAAAAAAATCATTCCTACAGACATGCTAAAGTCACTTAAAAATAAATGAACTAATATATAATAATAAAGCAATGATTCATAAGTAGCGTGCGTCCTTCGAGTTATGGATGCACGCGGGAGGTTGCTAAGAACGAAGAAAAGCGTAAGAGTTGCACGACGCGTATCCATTCCTTAACACGAGCTCTGATTGCGTTGAAAACCGTGACTAAAATGAAGATTTGTGAAACTTAGCGATATAAAGCGCGCTCTGATTGGTAAGTTACCTATACACCTATTTCGAAAATAGGACGTTTGCATGATGGCGTCACTGACCTCTACTACCAGACTCCCTTGCACACTTTCTTTTATTCAGTTAATTAGCACCAACTGTCTTACTATTCTCATAGGGAAATACAAATTTGAATAAGAAAGAAAATTCGCGAAGCATTATGGTAGTGGGAGTCAAATGACGCCATCATGCAAACGTCCTATTGTTGTCGAAACAAGAGCCTCAAGTAACAAGCCAAGGCTCCAGAGAACGTCGGCACTTTTAATTATAATTGCTTTATTCTTGGTTCATGCAAGTGGCTATAGCTCTCCACTAATTATCATCTCAAGCAGCCTTGCTTGGAGCAATTTGTGAAGTCAATAAATAAAAATGCATCATGAATAAACTAATTACAGCTAGAAGTGCCGGCGTTCTCTGCGGTCTTGGCTTGTTGCTTGAGGCTTTTGGTGCGACAACGATTTCTGAAATAGGTGTATATGAAAAAAGCCTCTGGGCCGTATCAAACTGTTTACTGAGTGAATAAATCTTAAAACGGCTCGATATAACTCACGAACCCTAATTGTGGACTGTTCCACTTACAAGATGAAGGTTATACCGTATACTTGACTGGACAATGGCTAATTGAGTTATTTCAGCTATTGAAACAATGTTTTGGGATGATTCCTGTGGACCTTGAAAATTTGCCAGAGCCCCTCGGAGTATAATTTTATACGCATGCGTATAGTCAGTGCAAAGATTTTCGCACGAGAGCCGCGCCATGAAGGCAAAGAAACGAAAGCGCCTCTGGAAAACAACTTACTCCCTTATCATTTCTGCTAGTTTAGTTTAGTTCTTTGAGTTAATCGAATAAAGTGCATTAAAAGCAACCGACAACAACAACAACACATGCAAGAAAGAATGAAATTTGGATTAGGTTTGCATTTTTCAAGTTACATGAATCGTGGAACTTCTGTATAAAAAAATAGCTTTGAAATTTTTTAATCTTTCCCATAAATGAAATTTAACCGTTACTCTCAAGTACAGGCAAGTTGTGTCTGGAATTTTTATGGACTTTTCAAGAAACATACTCTTGTAATTAAAGTTTTACCTTTCTTGGTATTGCAAGGCATCTGTGGCATGGAGACAATACGTCGTCCCCACGAGAAAACGTAAACGGTGTTTTCAAAAGATAGCCACTTTGGAGAGTGTTTTTAAAAGTATGCGTTTATGGTAAGCGTTGTCATCGTTTACGTGTGGACGGAAGGGCTAAACGCATCAAAAAGTGTGCTTTTACGAATGAAAACGTATACGTGTACTGTGGACGGGGTCCAAGAAAGAACCAAAGTTATTTGCTGTCGCACACACCACGTAGCCGCTGTGTATCTACAGGACTTTCTAGATTGCGCCAAGTGTGTTTCTACGACAAACACAAATTAAAAAATGATTAAGATGAAATCCGGATGTAACATTTTATAGTCTGCAGTCTATTAAGAATATTTTCAACCTACTAAATTTGTACACTACTATTTTCGACTTCCGAGGCCTTAGGGAGCTCAAAAACGCAAGATATAAAATGTCTTAATCGTTTTATCTTGCTTGATGTAAAGGAATCTTTATCGATAAACAAGTAATTAACTTGACACGAATCAATTGTGTGTGAGAGATCGAGGAGCTTCTAAGGGTTGTCTTTGGATTTTTTCTCGACGATATTTTATCGCATGCATTGACATCAACTGACTGCATTTCTATCTGCAAGATGTAGCAAGATTTGATGCACAAGCTGTCCCACAGTACGACAGGTGATGATAGGGCCTACGCTTCAAGGAATGCATACCGTATAGCGTGTTAGAATTCTTATCATTCGTAAGGTATATTCGTGAGAAGGTTGAGGGGATCCAGCTTTGGTTCCCAGCGTTGTTGTTTATCGTCATCATGAAGAATCTTGAAGTAATTTGGATAAAAGCTGTACGTTACTTGATCTATCTTGCGCACGTATTTAATAGATGAGACTTTTTGAAGTGAGAGCGCTTAGGTAAATGGAGAACTAAGGAAGTAACTAAAAGACAAAAAGAGTGAAGAGGCAGAGGTGAAAGCCGGTTTGCGGAAATGAAGTGGCAAAGAAGGAAAGAAGATGGTAGAACGAAAAGAAAAGGAATAGATATAAGAGGAGAGGAATGAAGAGAGACGATTGCAGAGGAAAGAAGATCAAAGAGAAAAGAAGAAGAGAAGAGAAGAGAAGAGAAGAGANATTGTCGTTGCAGGGACCCCAGTCCTGTGCACTCGGCTAGTGCTCGAATTGAGATGAGATGAGATGAGATGAGATGAGAAGAGAAGAGAAGAGATGAGATGAGATGAGATGAGCTGAGATGAGATGAGATGAGATGAGATGACCCAGTAAAAATTGCGCACATGTCGACCCTCAACACTCCATATTAGTCTGACGCACGGCTAGCTTTGCCGTTATGGTATTATCCCCTTGTACCTGATGCAGGCTGACTCGATAGGAATTCACTCATTACTGACGCGCGCACAGTCGCACTGACAGAGAAACTTAACTTTGTAATGTCATTAGCGTCTTCTAAGCTACGAGTGGCCTTTCCGTTAATCTACTAATGTATAGAAGCCAAAGAATGGAGAATAAGATATCGCATTTCGTGGGAAACTTGGAGTAAGTCGACAACAGACGAAGACCTGCAATAGTCCACTTGATTTGTCAGCTTTAGCCTTGGGGCACTTAAACTGAGACAGGAAACCATATAGAGAACGTGCAGCGCTTAAAAGACCATAGATACTGAGGTATGGCGCCGAGAAAACTCCTTCTCTTCGAATGGGTAAGTTGTATGGATATTAAGTATTCTTTCTCTTCCTAAACTGGAAGTAACTTTAGGAAAAAGACCGAGGATATTTCGATTAGATTTTTCACGCGTGTAGGTTGAAATCAATACCACAGTGGAACTATTAGAAAGCTAAGTACTTCTGGTTGAGATTGAAAGGTGGTTCACTGTCATATCAAAGCATAAAAGCTAGGATATGAGCTGTTAATGTGGGCATTTAGGAAAAAATCTCGTGTTGGTGTCGATAAGAGTAGTAAAAAGCTGGTTAATAATATCATAGGAATGGATTAGTACGCGCGACCACACTAGTCACGGATACCAAAACTATCTAGTTTGTATGTTGTCCGAGTCAAGAATAAAAATATCTTGAAGTCCTTGAAGTTACAAACTGTTGCTTTGAAGCGTGAAAAATGCAAAGAAATATTTCATAAGGGTTTCAACTTTGAGTGACAAAATGAATGCCAAATAGTCCATATATTAGGAGATTTTATTTACTTCGATTCGACATGACATACGACAAATTTCATTAATTAAGAGTACTCGTCAAAGACCAATACTCGTGGATTGAAGCGAATCCCCAAACTGCGGCAATGATCTCTCTTTGTCCGTGGGTGGTGATATACATATACATATATACGTCGTGATCTCTGTGCTTAAAAACTCATTACCTTTAGAAAGCCGCCTGTTTACAATCAGTTAGGATAACAACGAATAAACTCGCACATTTTAAGACCTCTTGGATCTTCTGGTCAGGACGACATTTCACGGAAGATTTAGAGTCTGGTTTCAATTAGAAAATAAAGAAGCTATCGAGAAGACTGAATGCTTCCCGTTCAGGCAGTCGGTAATTCTTCCTAACAGACTATTTAGCTAATTGCAATCATTTGGRGATAGATTGCCATCACCACATGCGGTGGGCAAGAAACGTCTAGATCCAAAATTCCTAATTTTTATCCCAAACTCTTTCCTCGGAGATAAACATGAGCTTCACAGAAATAGAGATAAAACTGTGCAAAATGAATAGCCCAAGGGAAGAAATATTCAAAAAGAGTCTACAAAATGATGTTTAATGTAGAGATATTAAAACTTTTAAACTTAATAATGAATTTGTCTTGTTTGTCCTTATTAACTGCGCTGACCTTTACAAACGACTTTCTTGTCAAACTAATGCTTKTAGCGGAGGTATTTTTCTCGTTTCTTCAAGTTCAAATTACAGTTTCTGTTCCTTATCACACTGACTGAATAATCCCACATGGATTCTGTAATTTCTTCATCACTTTAATGTAATTATTCAATTATGTCCGAACGAATGTCTTTATCAACTCAACAGTTAGTTTTATATCCTTAATAACTTATAAAAATAATACTTAAAGAAGGTGTTTGTGTTTATCAAAAGTAAACAACGTTAAATCCTTAGAAAGAATTCTGTACTAAATGTTACGTGACAATATTTATAGTTTGATTGAAAGTTTTGTGTTCAAAACTGGAAGATAGATAAGATTGTTAGTCTTGACTTCAAAGTACAAGGGTCAACAGTGCCAGCACTAGCATTTCTCGAAAGACGATCAACACAAGTTTTGGAATAACTGTGTTCAATGTACATACATACATACAACTTTATTTGTTTCAGCAGGTCTAAAAACTGGCAGCTATATAGCTGATGTGGACCTGAAAGGACGAAAGGACAATAATGCTTCAACCATAACATGGCAAAAAAATTTCTGATACATTTAGAATATTCATGATATAACTACAGCTCTAATCAACTTTGAAACTTTTTTTTTTCAATTCTTCGTCTTGTTTGAAGTTTGTTTGTGCTTGATATTAAGGAACACTGAAGAAACATCCCTAATTTATCGAATCCAGCTACTTGMTTTATTGAGTTTCCGGATCAAGGGAGATTAAATTGGAAGCTCGTCTATATCTGTGTGTGCTTCGTAACTAGAAAAACAACTGTACATTAAATAGGGACGTTTCCCCCCCTGTCTTTTCGAAAGGACATTATGTTTTTAGTCGTTAGTGACGTTATGAAGTGTTTTTCTAAATGACGTGTTGATATTTTAAGTGATCTTGGTAGAATATCGAGTTACTTTGAGTTCAATTTTGTCATGAGATATCTTTGTTATTTGGAATTGTGTAAAAGAAAAGAAAAGAAAAGAAAAGAAAAGAAAGAAAGAAAGAAAGAAAGAAAGAAAGAAAGAANAAGAAAGAAAGAAAAAAAACCCAATTTTGATTTTCGTCTTCCCTTAGGTCTGTTTGTTCCTTGTTCTTGGGAAAGCACTTGGAAAACACCAGAACGAGAACGGTAAGAATTGATAATTATCATCAATTTACGAGGCCAAACAACAAACTGCCCTCTTGAAAACGCGCGCCCAGCGGGCGATAATGGGTTTTGGCGTGCCGCAAATACGCGTTTACAGTCCGCCAAAGATTCAACTCCAAAAACCTCGTACGGCAACTTTGAAAATTTGCTTAACTTGGCCTAGTAATGAGAATAACATGACTTTGGTTGAGCATAAGGATGCTACTCTTAAACAATAAGCCCTCCAAAAGTTATGTTATTGTCCTATTTCTAACTTAAGAAAATTGTCATCATCTGTTCATATAAAGCCGCCGGCCATCGATCCTGTGGCCTTCGTCCCATGGAATTTAGATGAGATATTTGCGGAGAAAGAACAAACYGGAAAACCCTACAAAAAACGCAAAACGTTTTTTTAAAAACTAAATTTATTTTRGCAATAGCGATATCAAATATTCCTAATATTCTTTCCCCAAGATTACGAATGTAAAGAAATCTTGGACCAAGCGTCACGCTTTGCTCCGAGTAACGCTATTGTCACGCATTGCTGTTCTGGTAAAGGATTACGTTACCAGTGTATCAATGGATACCAGCTGGTCAGCGGTAACAAAGAGAGACATTGCCAATATGGAAATCTAACTGGCACAGAGCCAAGATGTGAATTCCCTAAAGGTAAATATATTGACGTCTGATTGGTGCACTGTTTTGTTCGTATTTCMGACCATTTTATAAAAACCAAACGAGTCAAAACAATGGTCCCGTGTYAAGGACGCGATTTTATTGGTTTAGATAGCGGGTACCACGGGAAGTAATCCCTCTCCTTGAAAATGCTCGATACGGGAAGACCGTATTGAGCGACTATATTTCTATACACGAATATGTAAATTTCTTTAGCATTCATTAGAACCGACAGTATACTGATTTATGTTTGCGATTTGATTTTTACTTATGGAGATATTTGAGCAAAAAATGCAGGAGTTCACTGGCTTCTAGAGGTGGTGGCTACTGGGTAACCCCACCCCTCCCTGGGATATCGAGTCCACTGACAGTATACCGGACAATACGAGATCCCGCGTTCATTGTTCTACAYCCCTAATTACTGTTCCTGGCGTCAAACAACCAAAATGTGTTTTTGATATACAGCATGCAACAAACATCGTCTGCTCAAAATTGTAAATGTCTGTCTTAAGGCCGATTTAGATGGTACGATTTYCGCCTACAACTATCGTATACAACACGCTCGCGTCTGTCGTAGGCGAGTTGTAGGCTTGATTTACACGCTACGACTCGAGTTGTAGGATGGCGCGAGCGTGTTGTATGCGATAGTTGTAGGCGAAAATCGTACCATCTAAACCGGCCTTTAAAATAAATGCATTCTAAAGGTACATAAAAAGAAAATCGATACCTACTAAAAAATCTTATGAATTCGAGTTTGTCGGACATTTTGTTTTCCATTGGAAGACTTACCATTGCTGAGGTGAACTGTTATTACCCATAGGTATGTAAACGTGGTTAATGTTTTTTATTCCAGTGACCACGTGTGGTAACCCTGGYCCTGTTATGTACGGTTATTTCATCGGCTCAAACTTCAACATATCAAGTCGAGTCAWGTACAAGTGTTATAATGGCTTCATCATGCATGGACACTCGCACAGGACTTGCTTGGAGAACGGACTGTGGAGCGAGCCTCCAACATGCGAATGTAAGTCTCTTTGTACAGTCTGGGTTTCATTTGACATTACTTCCTGTTTAGTTTCGAATATTCACCGTTTTCTCAAGGTTGCGTGCGCATCCAAATTTAAGGAACTTACAGCTTTGTGATGAGTTTTATCATGCATTGCTATGAGTTGTTTTTCGATAAAAATTCAAAACATCGATTATTCTCGTATTTAAATATAAAACTGTCTTCTCAATTTTACTGAATTTCCGTTTTTCAGTTTTGTGGCCCGTCAAGATTGGATGCGCACGCAACCGTGAGAAAACTGTCTGTTGAAATATTTCTGACTGACAGCACATAGTGTTCAGTGTTTGACTACCATTTGAGGCAGATAATGAGATACAAAGACTTTTAATAGCTCATTGAAAGACAGCGATTCTTGAAGTGCACGAGTGCGTGTTGGTGATATTAAAAGATTTCTCATTTTATCCTTTGTCAATACCACCAACATAGCCGCTATGTCTTTGTCATTTGGCTCTCTCGGGAATGCTTGCGCACATTAGTTTTACGCGCAAGAAACCATTGGTTATGTAATCCGTACGGAATTCTTTTGGTCTCCSAATGTAAAACATTTTGAGAGGCAAYGAAAAATCTCGAATTCAAGCACGTAAAACTCCCATATTTAAGCTTTGAAACGACGTGGGTGTCTGGATAAGGCCACGAACAGGTCAACAGGAAAGATTAGTTGCAGAATATGACGTTAAAATACGAATGAACTTTACAGAAATATTTCAATATTAGTCGAGGTTGAAGCCGATATTCGAACTGTGCCAGCCCAGAGCAGAAGAAAATCCTTTGTGACTGATATTCCTACGACTCCTGACATATTTGCCGTCTTAATACGATACGATTACTTCATTCAATATCTTATATAAATGCGCCCCAAACGTTTACTCTTCATGATTAAAATAGTATTTCAGTCTCATCCGAACTTTTGAAAAAATTTCCTTGTTGACATATTTAGCAGAAATCTTTGCTATAATTTCTCAATTTTATCCGATTTTTAACCAAATTTCTAAAATTTACTCACCAAATTTGGTTACCCTTGAACTCTCTCTGCGCAAACTAACCTCCTATGGTCGATCGATCACTTCACAGGTAATTACTTCTTCATCGCAATCTCGTTGAATCTTCATTTGGAAAGAGCTTTCTCTAAAGAGAAATGCCAATCCTAAGCAGCTAACTAGATATAGATTCAAGTCCTCGGCCATGTGGGACTCATGATATTATAATTGAGCATGCGCAAGTTTAAATGGTGTTGCGCCTCGTAGTTGACAATTTTTCTTTTGCGTAACACCTACCTTATGGCAAATTATTTAGATTAATAAAAAATAAATAAATTATGAACTTCAAGAGAAGTTATTACCAGTATTTCAAGTTCATCTTCTCTTCTCAAGTTTAAGATTTTAAGATTTAATTTTTCAGTTGACGATGAATCAGCTCTAGACATTGAAACAGCCACGGAAGTCATCGGCAACAATTTACTACAAAGCCTATACGAGACAAAATGTTCRGGGCCTGGGCCTAGCTGTCAATCAACATCGTCGTCAAGGCGACGTAGAGCTCTTGACGCGAACCATGCCGGTGGACTTGACTTGGTATTCATGTTTGATGGCTCGAGTTCCATYAAGAAGGATGGATTTGTAATGGGGTTGAGATTTGCGCAAGAACTTGTGCGTATATTGGACGCGACTGGAAGGTATGGCTGCGATTTGTTTGTTTATACACAATACTAGGTGTCGATATATATTGCTGTGATATATATCGCTTTTCTATGTATTCACTATCTCCATACATAGGTTCATTCATCCCACACGACCTAAGCTTTCAATCGAATACGAGGTACTTTTGAGCGATTATTCAAATTAACCTTGCAGTCTCGGTTGAATGCTTTGTATTTGATCAATGAAGGTGGCGAATATACACCTATTTCAGACATCGTTATCGCACCAAAAGCCTCAAGCAACAAGCCAAGACCGTAGAGAACGCCGGTACTTTTAGCTGTAATTAGTTTATTCATGGTGCATTTTCATTTATTGACTTAACAAATTGCTCCAAGCAAGACTGCTTGAGATGATAATTAGTGGAGAGTTATAGCCACTTGCATGAACAATGAATAAACCAATTATAATTAAAAGTACCGACGTTCTTTGGAGCCTTGGCTTGTTACTTGATGCTCTTGGTGCGACAACGATCTTCGAAATAGATGTATATTCAAAAGTGCTTACAATGATGAGGTGTGGTTAGTATGAGCTGTAGACACTGAGGGTGGTCACAATCAGGACTTACTTACGTCCTCTCAGTGGTCGTTGTACATCCCTCCGACATTGGTTAGTGATGATGTAGTGTGGAGAGATGAAGACACATGAATATAGATAGATAATAGATAGATACATAGATGTTCATG